CACCACCTGTTTTCCACTCCCCAACCATTTATCGACCACCTGTCATCTACTCTTTGACCACTAGTTATCTGTGCACCGACCATTACCTCACCACCAGTTTTCCACTCCTCAACCATTTATCGACCGCCTGACATCTACTCTCCGACCACTAGTTATCTGTGCACCGACAATTATCCACTCATCAACTATTAACTAACCACATAATATCTGCACAGCAATCATAACCCAACCATTTGTCATCCACTCATCGACCATATCAATATATAAAAGCTATTCTAGGCCAATAACAATGCAGCAAAATAGAGTAGATGCATTCTTGTACGTTTGGGTGGGTGACCACTAAACTTACTTTGATAAGACAAGACAAAACCTCGCCCGCTCCTCCAGTAAACAAGGACACTTCAAAATACAGCTTCAAACGGTGATCACATTCCTTGAATTCATCTGGGGGAATCTCATAACACAGAGATGACGAAATACTAGGAGTAGGTCCGCCATTGTTCAAACTACTACCCAACAGCGGCCCAGACATCTTGTTACTTAACTTTGAAAAGAGATTCACAAACACATTGGGCTGTGCTGGAGGTGAACTTTGAGGTATTTTTGGTTGACTGGGAGTCGTAGGTTTTGTTTCAGGCGTTATCTCTTGGCGTGGAAGAGATGAGTCAGTCTCGAGTGTTGAGGGTTTACTAGAAGACGTTTTTAACGAGATAGGACTATCTATTACACGCCTTTGTAAAGCACTTTTAGTACCACTAGTATCCATAGATTTGGACATAAAATATTTCGATTCTGAGTCTTTGAGTGAGTTACTTAAAGCACTGGTTCTTGTAGGTGAAGCACTTTTCCCAAGGTAATCATTCTTTTTCTCATAAACCACATATCCTACCGTCTTGTTTATAGTATAGGAATTTCTATTTTCTTTTTTCTTAGGAAAGTCTGTTCCATTTAGCTCAGTATTGAAATCTTTCTTTTCCAAAGATAAATCTTTAACTTTAGCACTGTCATTTATTTTATATCCTTTTGTGTTGTTTATGGCGTAAACTTTTGTGTCTGTCGATTCCTTTGCACTTTTAAGTAGATCTTGTTTTTCATTAATATCGTTATCTTTGCTGTACGTGTAGCTATCAGGTTGTGGAAATACTGTGGGGCTATCCTCCTTCTGAGGAATCAGTTCAGGCATCTTTTGCGCCTCATTCAACCTGAAAATGAACAGAATTCTATAATTAAGATAAGGATAAAATTTACGCCTCCGACTGGTGGAAAAATTGCAGCAGGATTTTCCATATTGCTTACTATCAATCACGTGACTTTTTTGGAGTTGACTGGGGGGCAAACAAGAAGTTGACTGGGGGGCAACTAGCGGATGCTAAGTCAAAATATATCAAAATAAGTCCTCAAACTATTGTATTTGACTATTTTCACGCCATCAAACCAGAAAACAAGAGATCAAAACAACCTCCAGGATTCTACAAGCCATCAAAAAAAAGCTATTACCGGAAGTGACGTCTATTGATAGCAAACTATTGCTGGGTTTCATTTAACGCCACCCGGTTAGCTCAGTTGGTAAGAGTGTACGGTCTGTTGTGCGGGAGGTCGTTGTTCAAGCCTCGGCCGGACCAACACTCAGGGTCTTAAAATAACTGAGGAGAAGGTGCTGCCTTTGTAATTACATCTGCAAATCGTTAGGCCTTCACGTGGCTCGGATGATTACGTTAATGGCGGTCCCGTCCCTAATTAACTAGAGACGTTAACAGAGGACCACAAGTTTATCAGTTGAATTACTGTCAAGTGTTATCCTCTATAAACAAAGTTAATTATTATTATTATTATTATTTCCTGTCTCGTGTGGAATGTTCATCAGCTGAATCACAAGTTTTCAATAGAATTCTTTCTGGTTGACAGCACCATTTGAAGCAGATAATCTGAAGATTTAAGATTTTTATCAGCTTGCCGAAACCCAGCAATTCCTGTAGTGATCATAGTCGGGTAACACAGATATTTTGCACTTGTCATTAAATCTTAAAAAAACATCGTGAAAAGAGAGATATACAACGGCCTGTCGAATACTGTGGTAGTAGTGAAGCAGAAGAAAGCATGGATAGTGTGTGCTAGCTAAATATATTTTTCAAGTTTCATAGTCTTTTTTTTTTTTTTTTTTTTTTTTTGAAATAAAGATTCAAAGGCCTATCACTAGTTATAGCCGAAACGTAATGTGTTTACCAAATCTACGCGTTTTATCAATAATCTTACATTCAATATCATGTCTGAACGAGAAAGCCTCAAAGATACTAAAGATTTCAATAAAGTAAATAAATAAAATTGTACGCACAACACAACAATGGCTTTATTTACCAAGTGTTTCCAGTTGTCACATCAGTTCTTCTGTCCATGGGAAGTTTCTCCTCGTGGTTGTCAATCATTGGATCACGTGATTTCTCAACAGGATTAACCTCAATGATTTGTATGCTTCCACAATCAGGGCATATGTGTTGGTCACGTGGTTTAGAAGTTTGCTCGGTGAAGTAAGCCGAGCACTTCAGGCACTGGAAAAGTTAAAATCGTCAGAAACCTAAATTTATAATAATTGTAAAATGGCAACACTGCATTGTCGAGGTATGGAATCGACAATAGCTGCTCAACCAATCAGCGCGTGAGATTAGTACACATCCAAAAAATGCTTGGACAAGGCATGGTAAAGATCACAGCAGGTTGTCTTTGCGGTGCGGTTTTCTCAGTAGAAAACTCAGGCACAAACGCGGTCATTTCACGGCAAGGCATACGCAAGACCAACCACACTGTACGAGTATTTACCGGCTCTCCATCCAATTAAATGCCCGAAACACAACACGAACAAGGCGTGGACACGGTCACGCCAATGTCACTGAACTGCCAGACATTGCGCGAGGAAAAAAACGCAATTCAAAATTCTAGAAACCTTCAAGGTTGCTGCACGTTTACGGCACCGACTTTTTTTTTACAGTCATATGAAAACTGCTCTAATATTTACATACAGGTCAGTCTTTTTAAAACACCTACCTGCAAATGCTCAGATATGACGACGTTTTTAGCCTCTTCATTAGACATGATCATAGGAAACAGAAGTTCTATCAATTGCTAGAGGAAAGTGAAAAAGAAACATTAGAAAACTAAAAGAATTTGGTCTTATGCAGGTAGACCATGATGTTTCGCTTTTATTTATTTAATTTTTTTTAAAGAGATCGGATTGCAATTGACCTCATTAGGCTTTGCAAAAGAGCTAAAACTGGAAAACCTGGAGTCAAACCCTCGAATCGAGGGAGTAAACCTAACAAACTCTACTAACACGAGATGCTGGGTGCAGTAATCGAGCCCAAGACCCAAGAGGTGAGAGAAGAGGAAACCGTCACACCCTAAACCCCCCCCCCCCTCCCCTCATTTCAAAAAACCTTGTCGGTTGCAAATGTGAAATTTGAAATCCGAGACCGAGTAGCATGCTGCAAAACGTAATATATTCACAGCCGAACAACGTAGTTTCCTTTTAGATTGGAATATGAAGCATAATCTTTGAGATGTGAATGTGGTTTTTCGCATTTTTGCCAGAAAACCTTAAATAACAAAAATCATGATCTGATCGCCCAATTCAGATCTCGGACAGACAATGTTTTTTGAACTTAGGTGTAAATTAAAAAGCTTCTAATGAGTTTCGTTTGCTTCAAATATCAACTGGTTGTAGCATGTATACCTCAGCACTCCCCCTGTCCTCCATGATGTAGTAACGTTCTTTACGTTTTCTGCTCAGATAGTCAAACTTCAAGTGCACAACTATTTCCCCGTCTCCTGATTTCTCTAGATTAGCAGCAACGAGACTGCCTATCTCTAACTTGCACGTAACCTACGAAAAAAATATATGAGGGAATGAAAGAGGTCGAATCAACAATAATTCTGAAATAAAAAATGACGAGAAAATGTAGTTATGGATTTCGAGAGGGTGAAACGTGACAATTTCCCACTTTGGAAAGATAAACTTGTGGCCCTCTATGTTTAACGTCTCTAAGTAAGACGAGACCGCCTTTTTACGTAATCATACGAGCCACGGCGAAGGTCTAACCTGAGCAAGGGCAGCACCTTCTACTCTAAACAGATGTTTGTGAGTCCGGCCGCGGAGGCTTAAATCCATGACCTCTCGCACAACAGACCGGTGCCCAAACACTTAAACCAACTGGAAGGAGGTAAGGCCTTGTAGTGTTGGATATATTGTGTAAGCCTGATTTTTCGCTGTCATAGTATTACTTCCACTCTGGCAAACCGGCTTTGGAAACTCAAAACCACCACTCTAACAGTAATTATCGTCTCAGAATCACTGGTCACTCGACCAATCACAGCGCGAGAAACTCTATATTCAAGTGTAAAATTATACTAAACAGGACACTAGAGAAAAACGTTTGCGCATGCGTACATTTCGGCACGTTTTCTAATAATTTTGAAGAGTTTGAGTGAGAAAATAAATGTTTGTTTTCTCCAAGTATACAAAAATGTTCAAGAGTACATTTTTGTCAGACCAAGATACTGTATTAACAAACACAATATGAAAGAATTAGCCTTAAGTTTCAAGCATGGACACTAAGTTTTGGCATTTTGTGAAGTCCAATTCATCAGGCATGTTTGAAAGTCAAATTTACTTATGTTTTGACTAATTTGCATACGGATTCTGAGCATGCGCAGACGATTTTCCCTCGTGTCACTAAACAGAGGGTATTACACGGTGGCACAAAGATATGGGGTTTATCTTCGAGTAGTGAAAATATTTTCAACACGAGAAGGTAGACTTCATATCTAAAAACCCACGTATAATTTTAATTTTATTTTTTTGACACATTCACAAACAAGAACATGTTAAAGCTGTATTTAAGTGAGCGGGAAAACATTGGAAAAGACGTCATCGATATCTTTTGTGTGTGGATTTGAAAACTGTCACTGAGGTCCCGGATGTAATTCATATGTAAAGTACGAGTGGCGTATTGCCCAGTAAAACACTAATGTCTATATAGTAAAATATGATAATGCACTGTTGGAGCCATCTTACCTTTCCATCAAAATAGCCTCTTTCTCGAATAAAGTGTTCAGTAATGGTAACGAGCAAGTCTCGATCATCTTCATCTTCTTGCTCCTCGTTCGGTAAGTGAAGCGCCTTTAGCGTCACTAGAAATGGCTGATTAATACCTAGACATAATAGAAAATGTTACCCGTAGATTACTGAGAGGATTGGTGAGTACACACAAAAATCCGTGAAAATATATGCATGCAATACATATGGAGCGAAGGGTAGAGTAGCGCTCAGAAGGGCACTCGTCCCCAGCGTCGCGGGTCCGAATCCTGGACTCAGAAGTCACATCGAAGTCCCCTAGTTTGGTTAGCCTAGAGGCTGTTCCAAATCAAGGCAACGTCAAAGTCTTAAGGTTTTTATTTGCAAAGCAATACACAGGAAGACTTGCTCGCTCGTCGGTTTATGATACTTCACAACTCTTGATTAAAAAACTCAACGCACGCCCTTTTCATATTAATATATGTATATACAAACCATCATCTGACTGATAGCTTTCATTAGAGCTGCTCTTCTGACTTGAAGATAAGTTCATCACTAGAGCCACTGGTTCTTGCGACATCACGTAAGGAGAAATGTTCGAAACATCATTTTTGTTATCTATATCCATATCTAAAAATATACAATTAAGGTGTGCCTTTTTAATAGACCGTTTTCTTAAGGTTGCGTGCGCAACYAATCTTGACGGGCCACAAAAATGAAAAACGCAAATTCAGCAAAATTGAGAAAAATCGAGGCGGTTCATTGCAGGCCCTACCTTTCCTCTCTTCCTCTCCCCCAGTCCCCCTCCCCTCCCCTTTGGGCCTCTACGCAGGCTATCCCTCTCCTATTCCTTCTACATTTTTTCTTTTTTTTTTTCCCCCCGTCTACCTCTTGTTGAATGGGATAACAATAACCCCTTCTATAATCAAGGAATATAAAACTGCTGCTTTTGTCTCTGTACTGTGATATAAACATTGGGAAGCATGGGTGGCGTAGCGGTGAGAGCGCTTGCCCCTCATCATTGTTTGTTGGTTGTCTCCTGCGCTTCGAGGGTTTTCCAGGTGCTCCGGTTTTCCTCCCTCCGCAAAAAAATCAATTTCTAAACTCCTATTGGAATTTCAGTGGAAGAATGTTGATGAATCCTTTCTTTTTAATGTTTTATTAAAACAAGATGGGCCGTGTACAACAAGAGAGAAGCAAGCTTAGGAACATGAGGCAAAGCCGAGAGCATTTCTCTTACTTTTCGAGTACTCTACAGCTACAGCTGCTTATATCACAGTAAAGAGACATCAGCAGCCGTTTATTTTGCTTTTATAAAATATTGTTGAACGATTTTCTGCGAGCGTGTCTGTCCCCAAATATAAACCCGCTAGCCAGCCCTATCAGCGCGCCCGATATATCTCAAATATCTTAAAAAATGTATATACAAACCTTTATCTGACTGATAGCTTTCATTGGAGCTGCTCTTCCGACTTGAAGGTAAGTTCATCTCAGTCACGTGTTCTTGCGACACCAGGTAAGGAGAAGTGTTCGAAATATCACTTTCGTTATCGATGTCTATATCTACAAATATACAACAAAAGCTCTAAGGTGTTTTTTTTTTAAATAAATAAAATGAAGATATTGTTTATAAATCTTTTTATCTAATCATTTTATTCCTTCCTATCTTTCCTCTACTTTTCCATTCCTTCATCCATTTTTGCTTTTCTTCTTCTTTTTTTTTCTTTTTCTTTTTTGCTTCTGGCCTATGAGTCAATAGCCCATTCGGGCTTGAGGACTAATTGCTAAGAAGTTATTACCTTGATAGGATGACGTTTTACTTGCTGATGATCTGTTCTCGCCATGTAGCACGGTATTTACTGCAGGCAACCAGTCTATATAACATTATGGGTGTTATACAAAACAACTGTACATCAGAAAACACAGTTAATCATATAAGACAATAACACATTTGTTAACTTGTTATTGAAAACTTCTTTTTTCTTCCTTTCTTTCTTTCCTTTCTTTCTTTCCTTTCTTTCCACCCGACCACCCACCCACCCATTCATCCATCCGACTGCCACCCACTCAGCCATCCACCTGACCACCACCCTCCCATTTATCCACCTGGCCACTACCCATCCATCCACCCAACCTTCTACCCATCCACCCAACCTTCTACCCATCCACCCAACCTTCCACCCATCCCTCCACCTGACCAACCAACCACCATCCATCTACCAGACCACCACTCATCCATTTATCCACCCAACCATCCATCCACCTGACCACCCACCCATCCACCTGGCCATCATGCACCCACCCACTCTCCATTCCATCCATCCATCCACCCAACCACCCATCCATCCACCCAACCAACCACACATCCACCCATCCGACTACCACCTACCCACCCATCTATCCACCCATCCATCCATCCAACCAACCAAACATCCATCCATCTATATGACCACCGGAAAACCCATCGTTCCTTTACTTTCCTTCATTCACAAGCAAGATAAGCACAACTTTAACTCACGTGCTCCGCCTAGATCTCTTGCTTTCTTCAGCCTCTCGATGTCTTGTGAGTGTTCAAGTGATCGCTCAACTGGGGCTGAAGCAAAATAATGAGTCAGGAATAAGAATAACGATGGTTATAACCCAACAAGGACTCTAAAAGATCTTACAAGATGTTGAAGAGCTCGCGGATTCGCCCTCATCTACATCCTTATTAATGGAAATCTGTCTTGCTTTAAGCTTACGAACTTTCTTTTTCTACAAAACAACAAAAACACAACAGTTGAAATATAAAGTCCACAGAATCGTACATTTCTCACTCATATGATAACCATTCGTAAGGAAAGCCATTTTAATGTCAGACTATGGAAAGTAAAGCACTGTGTATGTTTCCCACTCTAAGGAAAACCTTTCTATAAACTCAATTCAAGTGAAACTTAAAACTTTAAGTGACAATAATGAAAAACATCCACTATATTTCTTAGCTAAAGTTTAATTTCTTACCCTCTTCTCAGCCGGTGCCACAACTAAAGGTTGGTCTACATAACCCTGTGGGGATTCTGGGCGAGGAACAGATTCACTGTCTGCTGCAGTTCTCAGGTTTCTCGGTGATAACACAGATGGTTGACTCGGTAAATATGACAGTAAAGATGCAGGTTGAACACTGCAACCTACAAACTAATAAAACAGAATCCAATACAACGCATTTATTATTCATTTAGTATTATTTCTTTGGATCAATGTCAATGTTAACTTTATTTAGGCAGGGTGGCCCATTCAGCAACTAGGTTGGTATCCATAGGTGTCCTGCAAGTGTCGTTAAAACGCACACGAACCATTTGACAATACCTTAAGTACTGATTCTACATGAAGTAAATAGCTGAATTCAAAAGGTAAAATATTTCTTGATTTGAGTGATGCGTCTTTAAGTTATGAAGGTTTATATTATATTTTTTTGACATCAAGTAAGATATTTGAGCCAGTATTTGTCGTAACTCTTAATACTAAATGCTGGCCGTTATGAGAAAACAAATTTTAAACTACTTTTAGGTAAGAAATATTTTACCATAATTCAATATACTTCGTGTAGAATCAGTACCGAAAGTATTGTCGAAGGGTTCATGTACGCTGTAACTCTTCGGAAGGTAATTATAAGATGTTTAAGTGATAACATAGTATGTAAACAAGGATATGCCAGGGCAAGTAGCGTAGCGATAGCCCAATAATTTGAGGGGGAGAGGTACATGTAACTGTAACTAGCAATTTTTATAAACATGTCAAGCAGTGCAAAAAATAAATTCCATTTCACACTATGAGTCATTATTCTCAGAATAATAGTTTTTGTTTGAGTTCTATCCATATTCATGTGTCTTCTCATGAACAACTGTTAAACAAAGACATGATACTCTAGGGAATGTAATAATAATAGTCACTTAGTCATATCACAGTTATATAACCATGGCATAGTATATAAACCGGTGTGGTAATTATAGTATATCTCATATCTTATAATAATCAGACAACACTTACTGATTTTTCCAGAGGAGAGAGTTTCTGATTGTCTAAATACATCTGAAATATAAAAACGATGAGTTCAGAAGAAATTGGGCACTAATCAGCAACAACATGAGTAGAAACGAGGTTCAGGGACAACAAAATAATAATTGCCTCATTACATGGGAAAACATTTTCGCGAGCCAACAAATCAAAGTGTCACAAAAATATAATAAAACAAAAATTTTCGTTCTTAGCATCTACGTTGTATGCAAGTTGTATGTATACTTTGTTGTATACCACGTGTCACTCTCTTGAGAATAATATTCTTTGTTTCACTTGTAGTTGTATCCACAGTTATGTGTCTTCTCATGTGCAATCGTTAAACAAATAACATGTGGTCTGAAACTACTGTACACCCTTGAGCTAAAAATGTTCAATCCTAATGCTTAGTCAACCAGCATGTGACCCCCCTCCTGTCCTCCCCTCTCCCATTGTGTGGTACTTACATCCCCCTGGTGAGGAACTGGTGACAGACATGACACTGCTTGTACTCTATAGTCATCATAAAAACACAGGGGGTTACCAGACAGATGTAACTGAAAAAAAGAGGAAAAAGAACAACTGAATGGGGTAAACTCATTACAGAATTATGGGGAGGGCCAAGGGAAACTAAACTAAAGGGTACATAGCAAACTAGTCAGGTTGTTAAAAGTATTTGGGATGGAGGGGGGGGGAGGGGGGTCCCAGCTCTTTGCCTTACTACAGCCCTAGTAGAGTTATGAAGATCCATTCAAGGCTTAGGGAAAACCAAAAAATGAAAAAGCAATGAGTATGTTTTTTTGAGTTGCACCAGTATTGCTCATATACTGTGTATTAAGTCTTTGAGGGAGTTCGGCTGTCAGCTTAGTAAGTTACTAGTAAATATCATATCCATGGCCCTTAACTGAAATACATTGTACATACATGCTTCTTGATTATGCCAACTATTGCACAGTCTTTTTCTAAATTTATAGATTTACATAATTTCTTGCATTGCGTTTATTTACTAATAGCTAGATTACTTACTGCTGATAGATTGTGTAAATGTGCTAAAGGGAATAGTTCTTGGAAGGAAGCAATGCAGTTATTGGACACATCCAAAGTCTCGAGCAAACCAAAGTGCTGGATTCCTGTGTTATGAATCATCGAAGTAAAGCATGTTAATGACACCTTTGTATTTATTGGCTGGTTAAAAAAAAAGAAAGAAAGAAAATCTTGAAGAATCCACTACGACAACAGAGATCTAATTATAAATTTGTTTTCCATGATGAATAGGCCATTTGTTTTAACTCCAGAAACCAGAAATCAAGCCGAGCGTTCATTCCTTGGAAACGACATTTAAATATTGGGGTTCATTTTAACACAACTACTGGCTTTGATGGTGTAGGGACCAAAACCTGATAGTTCAAATGGCTCATTAATTTGGAATGCTTCCAAAAGTTGGTTCTGTTTTCAAAAGCTGGGGAGGGGGGGGGGAGGTTCAATGGATGCCCATGCCCCCCCTGAAAATGTGAACTACAAAATTTACACTGATTTTTGTTTTGTAACCCTAACCAAAAAAAATTTCATGTAGATTAGCGCCTGTACACAGGCGATAAATCTATGACATTGTTCGCACAATAATAAAATTAACTAAATGAAGACTGAGAATTTAACTAAACCATTACCTCTCAAGTCTTGTATGTTATTATTTCGTAGAATCAATATTTTCAGTTGAAATCTTGTAATGCTGACAGCAGGAAGAGAGGGAACTTTGTTTAGTTGATTGTAACCAAGGTTAAGATACTGAAGACCAGTGAGAAACTGGAAAACACAGCATATTTATAACTTGTAACTATTATCAAATAGAGGTACTAAATAATTATGTATGTATGTATGTATGTATGTATGTATGTATGTA